CTGCCATCTGAATATTAGTTGATTAGCTGTAATTATTTTATTGATTGCTTCACTCATTTATTAACTCAATTCTTAAGAGCTTACTGCACTGTGAAATACCTTCAAGAAACAATAGAGAAGTAGGCTCTTCCTCCAGAAGAAGACATAAACAAGTAAAACCACACATTATAATAACATCACAAAGTATGATTTAATTATTTAAGTAATCAACAGGAAAAGTTCAGTATATAACGACAGCAGTGGGAGAAATTTAAGGTGGGTCACCTTACTGAGAATGGAAGGTTTGAGCCAAAGAAATTAGAAAACCAGGTCAAAGAAAACTTCATTGGGCTTTTTACATGTAACCATACTTGACAACCAAGTAGGTCCTGTATTCTAGCAGAAAGAGTATGTGAAAACATGTTTAATTTTCAATTAATAGTTCTAGTTTGGTCTGGCTTAGAAAAACCTGGCCATCCCAACTATTAGCCCTCATGTATTATTTCTTCTGCTCACTTGTGATGCTGGTGCTGATGCCTCTGATCAGCAGCCTGTGGATTCAAAGCACACTGGAATTCTGTTTCTTGTTAGGAGTCTTTGTAGACACAGAGGAGCTGTTTACTGGTCTGTAAACAGAACATTAGAGGGTAAGAGCTTTGATCCAAGTCGCCTTCTTCTCGTGTAGTTTTATAAATACTTTCCAGGTTTTCACATGTTTTTTCTTATTAAGAATTTATTGTGAAAAGCCTATTTTCCAGTGAATAATAGTTTTGTTTTCATTGCTGTTTTAAAAATACATGGCATTTTCTAATTCTTCAGTTTTATTTTCAAATTGCCAAAAGACTTTATAATCAGAAAAAATGCCGAAAAAATGCCAAAAAATTTTATAATTAGATACCTGAATCACTGCATGAGTTACCAATCACAGGGATATTGTTCTGCTTTTGATTTCAAAGTAATCACTTCAGTAAGCCTCCTTTCATCTGTAACATGAGTCAGCATTTAGCAAAGCTAAGTTTAAACCACTACTGTAGATGCTTAAGTGACAGAAAATTTCTAAATAGGGCACTGTTTGTTCATAGTTTTGGGTATCTTTGATTTACTTGGCTTTGTTAGACAATAGAGGCTTCAGTTTAGTTATATTTTTAACATTCCTTAAAATAAATCAAGGAACACTCCTGCTCTGGATGTGGGGTAGTAAGAAATGAAGCACTAGCAAGTGCCAAGTGTCTGGGGATGAGGCAAGGGGCTCCACGCAGGACAGCACTCATTAATGCTAGCTTAGCTGCTCATCGTAGAAAACACTTCTGGCTGGCTTAGTGGTGAAAGAGCAGTTGGAGCATACTGGAAAACACATTTGAGTATCTCTTAGAATGCAAGTCAAGGGTAGTTAAAGTGACTTACTTTTCATAGGAAGGCCCAGCAAGGGTTAGGTCCTCACCTGTGAACCATTCAAGGTTAGAATAGAACAACAGAATTTAGATATTTGCTTGTGAGCAACTACTCTGACAAAATGGAAATTCATGAGAATTTACTCAAAGAAGCCTTAAAAATGATAGAACAAAAATAAAATTCATCTAACAGCTACCAGATGATAACTAATCTAAAGCTTATTGGAGTTAGAAATTAGAAGAAAGCACACATGAAATAAAAAAAAAATCTGTTTACAGAAATCATGGTAGAAAACTTTCCAAGTATGAGGAAAGAAAACAACATATAGGTAAGTGAGGCTTACAGAATACCAATGAATGCCCCCAAAAAACTCCAGAAAGAAGCTCCCCATGGCACATCATAGTAAAAATTCCAAGTTCAACACAAGGTCAGAATCTTAAAAGCTTAGAAAAAAGCAAAAACTCACATATACATGAAAACCCATTAGGATTACAGCAGATTTTCAACACAAACTTTAAAAACCAGGGGCAGAGCTTGGAGGGAAGTATTTCAAGACCTAAAAGAAAAGAACTTCCAACCTAGATTAATATACCCAGCAAAACTGTATTCCAAATTGATGGAGAAACTGGGACATTACAAGACAAAGAACATCTTAACATACATTTGAACAAAATATCAACACTTCAAAAAAGATTCAGAATATCCTATAGTGAAACAATGTAGCCAACAAAGCAAAAACTCAGATGGAATGAATATATCAAGCTAGGTGAATAGTTAGAGAAAAATAAAGGTGTCTACAACAGAAAATGAACATAATCACAGGAATAAATCAGGACCTTTCATTAGTAGCTCAATATAAATGGCCTCAATTTCCCAATTAAAAGATACAGATTGGCAGACTGGATCAAAAAACAGAATCCAAGCCTGAAACGTAGCTCGGGGGTGGGTGCCCTGCTTGCCTGGCAAGTGCAAGGTCCTGAGTTAGTTCCTGGTATGGGGAGTGGGGGGTGGGGGGGATCGTAAGGCTGTTGCACTCAAGAAACTCATCTGATCCAAAAAGAAATACATAGACTAAAAATCAAAGGATGGAAAAGAATACTGCATAAAAGTACCCCAAAAGCAAGCAGTAATTTTATTCTCAAAGTAAACTTTAAGTTAAAACTGATCAAATGAGGCACAGTCACTACATACTAGGAGGAAAATTCAGTAGGAAGAGATAACAATTGTAAGCATATTCACCAAATACCAGGTCACATTACTTCATAAAACACTCACTGCTGGACATAAAAGATCAAATATCACCAGCACAATTGGGTAGTTTTTTGTGGAGAGACTCCTATGTACCTGTACCTAGAGTACTAGAAAGAGTAGAACTACAAGTTCAAAGATCTGGGGTTGAATCCTAACTCATCTCTGGTATCATGAGCAAGAAGTTACCTAATCTCCATTAGTGAAGGTGAATATACCATCTCTTTTACAGGGTCACTGTAACTTAACAGGATACTGAAGTAATACGTGAAAATAACTGGCACACAACACATACTCATGATGGGAGGAGAGAAACCTAAATATAGAAGTACAGCCCTTCTACTACTCAAACATGGTGACTACAATATAGTCACTGAGAGCAGATTCATAACTCAAAAATTCCTAACTGCTTTGCTACTTTTAGTTTTTCAAAAAAGTACCTCATTCACCTGTATAAGAAGGTAGAAAATTCTATGGAAAAGGTGGTACAGAAAATAGAACATGAGGCAAATAAAATTTCAGATGCAAAGCATTTGGCTATTTAACTTTGTGACACATTAAATGTGTGTGTGTTCACATTTCAGGGACAAACTCTTACCTTTGCAGCAGTGCAGTACTTGGTGACCTAATTCTCCTAGTGCATTACCTGAGGTGGTGATATCTTTTCAATTACCACATCAAAAATGGAATATGATTCTCAATATGGAAATCTACAACTTAAACATCATTGGAACTGATTATTAACTAATTCAGTTTAGAAGATTTAATGTACACAAATACTTAAGAATTCTATGCTCTGATAGGAAGAAAGGGGTTAAATGTGTAGGGAAAGTGGGAAGGGTAGGGGAAAGCTAATTAGGGGAAAAATACAAGAAAATGAAAAAATGGAAATGAAGTGTTTGTTAAAGGGGGAGGGAAGGGGGGATGAAGGGAGGGCAGGGACAAGGGGAAAAAAATGAGAACCAAGACCTGTCATGTAAAGGTACAAGATCCCAATAATGAATGTAACTGTACTGTTATACCTAAAATGTACCAATAAACTCAATGAGAAAAAAAAAAAGAATTCTATGCTCTGAAAACTTTTCAGTTTTCCTTAAGACAACCCTTAATAAAGCACTCCAACAACCAAAGTAATAATTACTGTGCCTCATTGGGTGCTCTACAAATATTTGTAGAATGCTAGGCACTAATTTATCCCAAATAACTTGATAACAATTAGTTTATGGCAAAAGCATAGTTGGGTCCAAAAATGGAAAAAGAAAACAAAATCTTTGGGTTGTTAGAGATAAAGGAAAGGTAAAAACTCTTACACTCTCTTGTCATTCCCAGTGTCTCTAGATCGCCATTTCTCTGATCGTAACTTCAGGAACCTTCTATGCTTCACACTCACTGTAGACCTACCTAAGTGACTTGTAAAGCACTCTTTAATTTTATGGCAAAGAATGTCAAGTGGTAATTAAATAATGGACTTCACCATTGTGTTATGCCTTTTCTGGAACTAAAAATTCTATTTTTACTATACTGTAATTAAAGCCAATGGTCTGCTTCCTTTGTTTTTTAAAAATTTAAATCAATTTGATTTTAAGAGAAAACTGAGTAGCTATTAATATTGAAAGATTTTCAGTATATACTGCAAATACTTAAAGGAAGGTGTTTGTAAAGCATCACCATACAAGAATATAGAAGTTTGAGAAAATTTAAAAATGAATTAAGAAAGAACCAGGGGAAAAATATTTTAAAAAAGAAAACAAATTAGCCAAATAATTTTTTTGCAGCTCCTTTAATTACACCGAGAAGAAAAGTACAGAGGTCCTGAAAGTAGAAGCATTTCAGAAAATAAAGCAAAACCTTTGCATATACATTTTATTGACATTTTAGTTTTGATACTAAAAATACTCAAAATTTTGCACTGAATCACACTGTTATGAATTAAGAACATTCTGAAGTACTGGGAGATTTCATATATCCTACTTTATAACCTCACTCATATAAATGGTTGAGTTATATTTTCTTTCTAGAGATTAAGTTTATAGTTCAATTCATAAGAAAAATGACCTCATTGATTCACAGTGCCTTTGAAAAGCAGAAATAGAAAATAAGCATGTACTGTATCACATATACAGCTGTAGTGCTATATCAGGTCAAAGCTTAATTAGTATTATAAAAGTGTTTTTATTTGTATTGTTTTTAGTAGACTAATTAAAACACATAGCTCCAAATGCAGAAAAAGACTTCATAATGGCAGAATAATTCACCATCACATTAGCATTTTATATCATAAATAAGTGATGCAGTCCACTCTGTTTCTATCCTTAAAATCAAATAATGCATGGTTACATTCTAGAATTGTATCAAGAATCATCATGAAACAATCATAAGGATCTTTATTCTTTTTGCCAACAGAATAAAGATCACCATATATAACAGATCACCAGAGACAATAAAATTTACATAATTGACTTTTGATAGTGTGCATTTTTTATGGCTTTTAGGTCCTATTATATTCTATTGATGCTATGATATTATTAAAATAAAAGTAAATGCAAAGTAGAAAATAAAATAAATCCACTGACAGTGCTACACACTGTTTTGGCTTATCCTTGAACTGGAAATAAATTATCTAAAGTGTGGGGGCGTCTTCATGGTTCGCACAGTGTATCTTAGAGGTCTAATGATTGATGGAACACCAGCTCTGGGTCAGCCTGTCATGTTCTCCTTATTTTACAGCTCTGGGTCAGCCTGTCATGTTCTCTTTATTCAGGGTCAATTGGTTCCGTAGCTATCAAAGCACTTAGCTGTTTCTGTGCACAGGAAAGGAACAGCTCCAAACTGAACAGGCTTCTCTGTCTGATGACTTGATCAAGCTGTTGATTTGGGGAGGTGGGGAGGTTGAGGGAGAGAGAGAAAAAGTAACTCAGTTAAAAGATAAAGAATATTAAGTCACTGAAAACACCCAGAAAAACATTTTCAGATGAGATGATTTAATGTTTTCAACTGACACTGGAGGCCCTATTTCTTCTGGCCTAACAGATAAGATGATAAGAATTACAATTCTACATTTGATGTTGGTATTTAGTTACTGGAGAAATATTGTATATTTGAGTAGAGTGCTCACAGAAAATATTAAATTCTGGTTCTTAATGAACATTTGGACCAAATATCCATAAAGATCATATAAATTTCACAGAAGCATATAACAAAATTTATAGTACAGAAAAACTGCATAATTACATCACATGTTTTAGGAGCACAAATGAAAAGTGAGCAAATAATTTCCTGAAATTAAGTTTTGGGAAAGATATATTTTAGAAAGAAAAAATAGAATGTTTAAAAAGTCATTTTAATATATGTCAAAACATATTTGACCTTATTTGTATCTCCTGTTATAATAGGTATCTTTTATTTGGATAATTTCAATGTATTGGTAGCAAGTACATACAGTAAAGAAAAAAGATCGAGTAAGTAGTTTTTTGGATTATATATAATAAAGAACCTTCAGAGATAAAGCTTAGTGAATACATGAAGAAATTTGGAATTCTAATTCTAAAAATTTGATCATCAACTAAGAATAACTAAAGTGACAACATCCTGCCTACAAGTTATGAAATGGAAGAAATCCAAAGAAATCAAATAAATTGTTTCAAAATATATGCCTGTCATATTTATAGTAAAAGCTCACATATTCTTCCCGCAAAACTTCCAACAAAAATGGGGGAAAAGGTAAATTCAAACAATAGTTCTTTCTTAAATTATATCTACTCTGATAATGGGCTGATACTCGAAATGGCTAAAGAACAGGAAGATTACAATTCTAAAGCACCCTAAGAGGTAAAGGAATACATAATGAGCAAAAATGCTCAGGTAAGAAGATGGACTCTTTTCAGTTCTGGCATTCTGAGCTTTGAACGTATGTATAGAAATAGGATTTCTGCTTATTCTTTTTTTCCTCCTTTTCTCCTTTTCTTTCTTCCTCTGTTGGATGACACCTTCAATATTTCTTCTTTTTTACAGACTTTATTAAACAAGAAAATTCTTAAAATTTCTGTGATCTTATCTGTCTCGCTAACTACAGTACAACTATCATCTTTAAGATGATCTGGGTCATGTTAGACAATAAATATTTTCAGGGAATGAATGAATCTGTACATGCATGACCCTAACAGAGTAAGACAGATGACTGGGAAATGACTGATTTACTTGTGGTGCTAAGTGTGGGAGTGTGCTCCACCTGAAGCAAGAAATCAGAAAGAGGGGATTTGTAAAAGTCATTTCAAATATGTAAAAAAGATTGAAAGTTCAATATATACAACTTTTAAATTATTCTAAACTTGGTCAAAATTTAAACAGAATAGAAGAGTGTCCAATTCTCAGTTTCAGTCCATTCCTCTCTTATTTCCGTCTACTGTGCATGCTTTAAGCATTTAAAAGATCAGCTTTAAAGAATGGTTTGTCCCAATCTCATAATTGTTATTGGATAGGAGGGCTCACATATTCACTTCATTCCATGGCCATTTCTGGAATTTATCTCATTTACGATAACTGCTTGACTAATTCAATAATTTATTTAACCACTCTCTCATTAATATATATGCAGATTTATCCAAACTTTTTGCTTTTGAAGCAATAAAGAAATTTAAAATAATCATTGCATATCCTTCAGAAGATGTTGGAGGGTTTTTCTTGTACAGATTCTGGTATGATGAATTTCTATGGGACAAGATCTGTACACTGAACACTGTAACAGACATTACCAAACTGCTTTCTGAGTGAGCACACCAAGTATCAGTCCTAACTGCCATGTAGGAAAAGGTCAGCTTTCTCTTTTCAGTGGTAAACAGTTTTCCATCATATATTTACAATTTAATATATGCAATCAATACAGTATCTTAATATTTATTTTAAAAGCAGTTTATAGACATTTAGACTATTCCTCATACTTTGCTATTATAATCAATGCTATAATGAACATCCTCAGCACATTCTTCTGTATTTAGTGCTAGTTTATCTTGTAGGAATTATTGGAGCTAAAGAATGTGCTACCATAAAGCAGGTACTAGATATTTTACATTCATAGAGGTATGATACAGTACCGTCCTACATCAATAATACTAGATTCAGTTTTGGTTTGAAATTTACTTTGTCTGCAAATGAGATTGCTACCCCTATTTTTTTCTGGGCTCCTGTCACATGGAGAATTGTTTTCTATCTTTTCACTTTCAGTCTATGGGCTTCTTTTTGCACTAGGTGTGTTTCTTGTATACAACGTATTGTTGGATTTTGCTTCTTATTCCATTTTGCCAGTCTATTTCTCTTGATTGGTGAGTTGAGGCCATTGACATTGCTGGTTATAACTGATATGTACTGATTTATTATTGACATGTTATTGGCCTTTTGTTGACTCTTTTTACTATTTCACCTTCTCCTTTTAATTTCTTGCCTTGCTTATTTGATTTGCTCTGTTGGGCCTCATGGTGTTGTTGCCTTCATTGTCTTTTTCTAGGATCTTGTTTAGAATTGCTTGTAGTGCTGGTTTGGTATTCATGTAGTTTCTCAGGTGTTCTTTGTCGTGGAAGTGTCTTATTTCCCCCTCCATTTTGAAAGAGAGTTTTGCTGGATACATCAGTCTAGGTTGGAGGTTGTTCTCTTTTAGTACTTGAAATATCTCATTCCAGGCTCTCCTTGC